GACACATATGTTCTTTATACAGACATCCTATTCTCTTTTAGGATAGAGTTTTTCTAGTTTCTAATCTATGTCAAACAGGTTATAATTAAATGGAAAGAAGGATGCCTGAGTGGTTCAGTGGTTCAGTCAGTTAAGTGTTTGATTCTTGATTTTGGCTCTGGTCATGATCCTGGGGTTGTGAGACTGAGCCCTGCATTGGGCTCCTCGATGAGCATGGAGCCTGCTTGGGATTGTCTCTCTCTCCCTCTGCCCCTCTCCCCAGCTTGCACTCTCTCTGTCTGTCTGGTCCCTCTCTCAGATAAATAAATGGAAAGAAAAAAACCCAATATTCTGAAATAAATGCAGAATTAAAAATTCAGAACTAGGGGCGCCTGGGTAGCTCAGTAGGTTATGTGTCCGACTTGATTTTTGCTCAGGACATCATCTCACAGTTTGTGGGACTGAGCCCCACATCGGGCTGTGCACTGACAACGCAGAGCCTACTTGGGATTCTCTCTCTCTCCCTTCCTCTGTCCCTCTCCTGCTCGTGCTCCCTCACTCTCTAAATAAATAAATAAACTTTAAAAACAAAAACAAAAAACAGGCCTTATATAGGCACAAGGTGGAGGCAGTAGTCATGGAGGCAGAGTAGAAGAGGCAGTGGGAAGTGGAGAAAATGGCAAGTCTCTCAAGAATTATGATTAAAAAGACTAGAGGAAATAAATTTAAATTTGCATCAAAAGTAATTTGGAAAGATAATTTCTTAAAATTTTTAAGTCTTAAACCCTAATCACAATGCTAAGACAAAAAACAGTGCTTTTTCCTTTACAATTTTTTTTAACGTTTATTTATTTCTGAGAGAGAGAGTGTGAGTGGAGTAGGGGCAGAGAGAGAAGGAGATAGAATCTGAAACAGGCTCCAGGCTTTGAGCTGTCAGCACAGAGCCCGATGAGGGCTCGAAATCAGGAGGCTTGAGATCATGACCTGCGCTGAAGTTGGAAGCTCAACCAACTGAGCCACCCAGGCGCCCCTCCTTTATAATTCTTGAGAATGGGCTAGCCAGCCATGTAGTTATGGAGTAGACTACAGAGGTACTTTCAGTTCTGGGATTTATTTTAGAGAAGAATCATGTTTGGTTATAAAAATCTAATTAACTTACCTGTCTTATCAGAAGTTGACAGTGCTTGTAAAAATGGGTAGGGCAAATTGAAATTATTTCTATGTTAAATCTTTCAGCCCTTTTTCATTAATACTACAGTAACGAAAAAAATACTACAGTAACGTATGTATTATAATGGAAATTGGTCAAATCTTATTATTATTTTTTTTTAATTTTTTTTTTCAACGTTTATTTATTTTTGGGACAGAGAGAGACAGAGCATGAACGGGCGAGGGGCAGAGAGAGAGGGAGACACAGAATCGGAAACAGGCTCCAGGCTCTGAGCCATCAGCCCAGAGCCCGACGCGGGGCTCGAACTCACGGACCGTGAGATCGTGACCTGGTTGAAGTCAGACGCTTAACCGACTGCGCCACCCAGGCGCCCCTGGTCAAATCTTAATTTAAAAGGTAACACAGTAAGGGGTGCCTGGGTGGCTCAGTCCATAGAGTATGTGACTTTTAATCTCAACGTCATGAGTTTGAGCCCCACTTTGGGAACAGAATTTACTTAAAAAAATAAATAAAAGGTAACACATTGGATTTATGATAAAAACTGTGTAGCCACCCAGTATTCCACCAATTTTTATAACAATTCTTCAATAATTTAAGCTTATCTGTAAGATCCAAGAAGCACCTGTCCCACAATGAACTCTAATCTACAGCAACCTAACACAATGTAGTTCCACTAAATTTCAGAGGATGGCCAACTGCTCAAAGTGATATAAGAACATAAGGTGGTAGGATATATAAGTTATATCATGAAATGGAGTCACACCATATAAGCCTGAGTCAAACACAGTTCACCAAAATCATAATGTTTTCTTAAGAGGTCAAATATGTTTCTTTTAAAAGGGTAAACGTATATTACCTGATGTCAAAGCTGACAAAGATACTACAAAAAATATAGACCAATATCTCATGAATATTGATACAAAAACCCTCAACAAAGTACCAGTAAACTGAACACAACAGCATACCCTAAAAGGATTTTACAGTGTGATCAAATTATGATTTACTCTTGGGATGGAAGGATAGTTTAACATAGAAAAACCAATTAGAGTAATATACTACATTAACAGAATAAAGGGAAAATATGATTATCTCAATTGATGCAGAAAAAGCAACTGACAAAATCCAAAATGATTTTTTTCTTTTTAAATTTTATTTTCTAATTTTAAAAATTTTTTATTTTACACAGTGAGAGTGTGAGCTGGGGAGGAGGCAGAGGGAGAGAGAGAGAGAAAGAGAGAGAGATAAACTTAATCAGGTTCCATGCTTATGGCAGAGCCTGATATTGGGCCTCAATCCCGTGACCCTGTGATCATGACCTGAGCCGAAATCAAGTGTCAGATGCTCAACTAAGCCACCCAGCTGCCCCCAAAGCCCCCCCTTTTTTCCCCATAAAAACACTCGATGAACTAAGAATAGAATAAAACTACCTCAACATGATAAGTGCCATATATGAAAAATCCATAGCTAACATCATACTCAAAAGTAAAACAAAGAAAAGAAGAAAGCTTTTCCCCTAAGATTAGGAACATGACAAGGATGCCCAATTTCAGCACTTTTCAACATAGTACTAGAAATTCTAGCCAGAGCAATTAGGCAAGAAAAAGAAATATAAGGCATCCAAACTGGAAAAGAAGTAAAATCATCTCTGTGTGTAGTTTACATGTGTAGAATACTGGAAAACTCTAAAAAGTCCTTAAAAAACGTGAGAAATAATAAATGAATTCCATGAAGTTGCAGGATACAAAATCACACAAAAATCTCTTTCATTCTTATACTACCAACAATGAATAATCCAAAAATAAAGAAAATGATTTCATTTATAATAGCCTGAAAAAGAATAAAATACTTAGGTATCAACTTAACCAAGTATATAAAAGTGTATACTGAAAACTGCAAAATACTGCTGAAAGAAATTAAAGAAAGTGCAAATAATAAAACACTGCATGTTAACTAAAAAACAAAAAAGCAAAACAAAAAGCTCAAAACACAAATAAATGGAAAGACACCCCATGTTCATGGACTGGAAGACTTTTTTTTT